TATATAATATAAATTAGTGAGCTCATCCTTAAGGTAGTCAAATAATTTATCCTTTTGGTACGAACATGGATAAATGCGCTAAAATTTTGCTTACACCATGATAAGGAGCTTGCAAGATCCAATATTTTAATAACCAATCATTATAGATCTATAGTGTCATCTCCAAATTTAATCCAATATCCAAAAAATTTTAAAAAAATACAATTAATATAATAAACATATTTGGTGGGATTTAACTAATAAATATTAAAAAACTAAACAATATTTTGCTATTATATTTTTAATGTGTAATAATCCAAAGAATCATTCTTTATTTCCAAAGGATACAAGTTGATGATCAAACGTTACCCTCTCAATATGAGGAAACTATCAATCTATCCATATTGATACTTAAGAATTAGTTATCTTGTTCTCAACATATTGATACTTAAGGATTAAGATAATATGATGTGGCATGCAAATATCAATGAAGCTCCAGCTTCTCGTCAATTATTTCCCAAGTTTCTTCGTAGGTGAACTCATCTTCTCCTAAATGTTGTACTATCAACTCATTTGTCTCATCTATCACATCATAAATGTAACCCATCATTGACTATTTTATCCGCATTAGCCATTCTTAAAGCATGAACCAAGGGAATTGCTGTTGTTGTAGTATCATAAGTCACACTTAACCATAATGTGTAAGTGAACATAACCTTCAAAGATGACCTTGCTTCAATGATTTTTGTAGAGTCAAGTATGTCATAGCAAATATGATAGTTGCAAGTCATAAGAGATCTTTCTTAACAAAATTCTTCATCAAAGCCAAAACCAACTATAATTGTAAAGGACTTGTAAATCGTCTTGGCTTTTGGTCAAATAATTCTTGTGTTGTCGTGGCTCTCCAAGTTTTTTCAAATTTTAAGTCAATCAATGTGTCAACGATTAAGTCAAATTCATATGCTTTCTCTTCTCCAACTTAATTCAACCATCCATATAAACACGAGCATTAATAGTAACAAATTGGACATGTAATTGCTCTCCAATCTCCTTTATAACCCCATAAAAAAATATACTCAGAATCTATTACCTGTTTGATACTTCAACTGACTTAAAAAAATATTATCATAGAATTTGTTAGCTAGATCATTGATAAAGCTCTATTTTTAGTATCAACCAACAATCAAACATGATTGTGACTCCAATTTATGTCCAAGTTATTTTAATCTCGTAAATAACTTTCTCAAAGCTATTCAATTCATCCTTCAATATCCAACCCCAAATCTAAAACATGGACGGAGGTTTAAGGCCTTAACCATAAAAATCCATAGAACAAATAATATTGATATAAAACGGTCAAGTTGCCATATTAAATGGAATTTAATTTCATAGAAGCATTTTCTAAATGTGCACAAAAACACACATACATGCCTCTCTTACATTCTAAGGAGATATTTGACATGCTACCTTTACACCATCATCCTTTTCATCCTCCACATTCATCATATATTGATCCATAGATCCTTTTACACTTCCATTTAACATTGAAGGCAAAGAAACTTTGCCAATAAGCTCACCACCATAATCTCTAAATTTAATCCAATGGAGGTTTACACTTCCATTTAACATTTGTTGCAAAGAAGGCAAAGAAACTTTGCCACAAGCTCACCACAATTTTTTTAGGTCGAATCATTGAATAGATTCTCCTCTTCCACCTGCTCAAGTGGGGTGTCAATAAATGACCCAAATTGATAACCTAACACAAATTCGACCTAAAAAAATACAAATTTGATTTGACCAGCCAACCCAATAGTGACCCATTTTTTACCCGAGAGTAATCCATTTAGTTATTTTCTCTTCAAACTATTTTTCTTGTTGATATACTCTTCTTCCTTTTCATCAATTAACCTAAATTTTGTAGTTAAAATGTTTCAATTTTTTTATATCAGAACAACTTATTAGGGCGTGTTTAGGTCATCAGGGGTGCTAGTAGTTCGGGTTTGGGTCCACATTTTTGAATTGTTTATTAAACAAGTTGATTGGGCTCAAATCAGTCAACTTCATATTTGACCCAAACTCAACAGGTCAACTCACTTTGACACCCCTAGCATCATGCACTTTGCCACACTGCATACTTCTAATGATAATAAAAAAAAAGTTATTTAATTGTAGTTAAACAACATTTAACAACTTTACCACAATCATTTTACTTCAAATAGGTTTGGCTTCTCACCCCACACATCCCTTACAATATGTTTTCTACTTTCCATTTGAGTTTTTCTCTTGACCTCTAACCATCTTTAAAAACCATAGATTGAAAATTACAATTCAAAAAAAGATGTTATAAAATGCATACGTTAAAAAAAAGGAAACTCTAAAGAAAAAATTTCAAAGTTTAAGATAGAAAAAAAATGGCTATTGTTATCGATGAGAAGAGAAGTGGTTGAGGGAGGGTAATAGGGTGGAGGGTAGGTCGGCAAAGAGGCAATGGTGAAGATGAAAACACCGCAAAAATGATTGTCAGTTGCGTGCGATTTAGGAGGAGGTGAATTCAAGTGAGAGCGTGCAAAAAGGATATGGTAATAGTCAAAGGAGGGACCAAAATCTTTTAGAGGTTTAAATGGAGTTTTGATATAGTTAAATAATACAATAGGGTTTAAGAATATATTCCATTTATAAACTTTTTTCCTAAATCAATCTAACCCTCGGATTAGAGTAATATGCCTCTTATTGTGTAGAGGCATGTCTCAGCTATGTTGAAGCATATGTCTCATCAAGGCCTCCATGAATTGTATGCCTCATCACAAATTTTGCCAAAAAGCACCAAGTTACACCTTATTGCTCAATTTCAAACAAGTCTATGATCCAACTACTTTTATTTTCGTGAAATCGTTAATCAAATTTATTAGTTCTTATTTAAAAATCCTCAAGGAATCTATTGGCATTTATCATAAATATTCTTCACTCCTTGATTAAAAATATGTCATACTCATTATTTCCACTCTAAACCTCTACACTCAACAGATAATGTAGCTGATACAAACAAAAAATTATTAAAAGTAGATAAAAAGAGGTATTTCATTTCTATGAATTTACATAAAATGGGTAAGGATTCACTCATCCAAAACTGTGTACTAAAGCATCCATAACCATCCAAGAATTACTTCCCCAATAGGAACTCATCATACATTATATTGGGGTTCCACTCACCCCAATAGTATAAATCGCTCACTCTCTCATCCATAAGCTCTCTACACCAAAATCTTTCCATATCAAAGCATTTATGGGCTTAAAATAAACTTTGGCCAATTAAATGAAATAGTTCATTTGGGTAGTTGGTGGCCATTAAAAGAAAAGCATAAAATTAAGCTAAGTGTTGCCAAGATGAGGATGCTCAGGTGGATGAGTGGATTCACTCTTATAGACAAAATGTCAAACGAGTATATACGTGAAAAGGTTGGAGTAGCTCCACTGGCAAATAAGATTAGAAAGAGTTGTCTTAGATAGTTTGGTCACATAAAACATTAGCCTTCTAATGACCCGGTTAGGAGAGCAGATGTATTAGATTTGGCTTATTTTAAGAAAGTTAGAGGTAAACCTAAAAAAACTTGGTTAGAAAATATTAGAAATGACCTTTTTAATTAGATTTAAATGAGAATTTGACTCTTAATACAATGGAGAAAAAGGATTCATGTAGCTGACCCTACATAGTAAGGTAAAGGCTTAATGTTTGTTATTGTTGGGTAGTTGGTGGTCCGAAGTAAAATAAAAGAGGTGGTTGGTTGGTTGTAAATGGTGGGTGCAAGTATAATTAATAATCAATTGACACTTCATAACTCTGCCATACAATGATAAAATTATAAAACTCAACCCTAAGTATGATATTTGTGAAGTAACTCCACCATCTTGGTTGACTCATGCTTAAGAAAAAACTTAGGTTGAGACCTTGAGATCCACTCTAAAACCAATTTGATGTATCCCATAAAAATGAAGTACAATTAAAAGTAAAAGAAAGTGGGACTTCATTACTTTGAAAAAATAAATAACATGAAATAAGCAAGGATTCACTCAACCAATACATTAGAATCAATCACCCAAACTAGAGGAACCTCTTACTCTCCTATCAGTAAGCTCTCCCCTTTAAAGCCCTTCCTAATCTAAGCCTTTTATAGGCTCAAAAATGAATTATTTGGCCAATAAAATGAGGTGGTTGATGGGACCAGTTGGTGGTTTGAAGTATAAGTGAATGAGGCAATTGGTAGGTGGTAAGTACTGATTGGGAATTACAACTATTAATCAATAGAAACATCATCAACGTCTCTCTCCCAAGCAATCTCTTTATCTCTGTCTACCATCCTATAATCCTTTTACATCCATGCACAACGCATTCAAAAGAAATCTATACTTAACCACATTTCCTATGTTCTTCGCAAAAAATGCTTTGCTAGCTTCCATTTCTTGTGTTGCATGTCATATATGAAAAAAGTTGGCTACAAATTAATTTTTTTCCTGCCTGCACAAACTTTAATGGTAAGATACTCCTCCATTTAACAGACTAAGGATGCTACTTGTGATATAAACAAGAAGATAAAGAAACTCTTGCAATCTAGCTTTCATATATCAATCTACAATAATGTAAGATTGTTTCTGGTCCAGCGATAATCTCAGAATACCAGACCAGTCTATCAGCCCAATTAAACAACTGACTTGCCGCACATGTAAAAGGCAATTCAAAATCAATATTCCAACTTACAAGAAGAATCTCCAAATCATTGTAAAGCAGTAATTTTTTTAGCAGTTATCAGCCAGAAAACTAAGAGAAACCAAAAGAAGCAAAACCTAGAAATAACAAACCAATCCCTAAACCCTAAAATTTCAGAATTCCACTTCATCAAAAATCAACACAAAACAATTGGGGCAATTATTTATACAAAATACATCAAACACATTTTTTCAACGCCAGAGAAACAATAATTTCAAAAAGGGCTAAATGAACGACAATATGGCGTAAACAAACTCACCGCTGCTATCGGAAGGGCCATACTCCATGACTATATCCCACCAACAGCGCGAACCCTAAGAGTATGCACAGAAATACTTCCAGCTGCGGCTGCCGCCAGTACCCAGAGAGGAAGAGCAAGAGGGCTCTCCCGCAATAAAAGTGCGTATCCAGCAAGAATCAAGAAACCAGCGACGGAGCAAGCCCTATTTCAGGATACCACCAAGGAGCTCTCAACCAGAGAAAAGACCTAGGTGCGATTCGATCATCAGCATTATAATACGAGGGGGGGGAGAAAGGTAGAAATTTTTCGTAGGGTAGATGGAACAAGAACAGGATACGAAAAGAAAGACGATCGCGCTCGAGCAGTGAGGAGAAAGGTCGCTTTGATACGCAATTTATAGGCGAAAATTATTATCATAATTTAACTCCGTCCCGAGATCCGCGGACCCGTCGCATTATTTTGTTAAATTGTCAAATACAAACATTTATGACAGCTAAACGGAATTAATTTCAACTACTCTAAAACGAATTGGATAAGAAAACTTTATAACCTCTAGTTAGGGTATCAATATTTGACACTAAAAATTGCTACAAATTTCACCCAAAAAATTAGGTCCGGTTCAACCCATTTAGAAAATGAGATTGGTTCAGGTTTTGTATTATGACCCATTTTCAATTTTGGACTAGCCTTGGGTCAATTTTAAAGCAACTTGAAATTGATCCAGGTCAAACTCACCTGCTCGATAGGATTGCTTGCTCTGTAGCGCTAGTGCTCACACGGTCACACTCGTGTTCGTGTAACACTCACATGGCTCACCCTCACTGAATCGCCCCCTCGCCCGCATGTTGCTCGCCCTTGCGGATTTGCAGGCACTAACCTCACGGGTTAGTGGATCGGGCCAGGTCAACTTAAGTTAGGGCAGCCGAATTTGGTCTTATTACTCGTTTGTCTAATTGGGCCAAGTCAATTAAAGGCATGTCAATTTTAGGTTGGACTCGAACTCGACCCGAAAACCTATTTTGACACTCTTACTTGTAATAATTATTGAAGAGATTTGTAATCCTCCGCTAGTTGTGAGATTAAAAAATTTTATTTTTAACAAAATACTTTACTCCTTTTTGTTACTCCAAAATCAACATATCTTATATTAATATTGTTATTTTTAATTTACTTTTATTTATCTAAATAATATACACAATGATGAAAAAACAAAGGTCTATGAATATGAATAAATCTTTTATGAGAGATTTGTGCTCATGAATGAAAACACAGTTCTTTGCACATATTCAATGATATTTATTCTTCTTCACAAGCATTTTTTGAAAAGAATTTCGCATAGAAATTTTATCCCACAAGTAATTGCGGAAGAAGTAAAATCTTTGGATCATTGAAACTAAAAATTCAAGAGTTTTTCTATTATTATGTGGGAGAAGTTCAATCAACAATAAAAAATATGTATATTGATCGCTTTAGTTATGAACAAATATACATGCATCTAATTGAATAAGCAAATAAAGCAAAAATCAGATACATTTTTTTGTGGCCAAATTTGATCTTCTTGCCCGTTTGTCCAATCGGGTCGAGCTAGTTAAAGGAATGTCAATTTCAAGTTGGACTCGAATCGGACTCAAAAATCTATTTTTACACCCCTACTTGCAATAATAATTAAAGAGATTTGTAATCCTCCATTACTTGTGAGATAAAATAATTTTATTTTTAACAAAATACTTTACTCCTTTTTGTTACTCCAAAATCAACATATCTTATATTAATATTGTTATTTTTAATTTACTTTTATTTATCTAAATAATATACACAATGATGAAAAAACAAAGGTCTATGAATATGAATAAATCTTTTATGAGAGATTTGTGCTCATGAATGAAAACACAGTTCTTTGCACATATTCAATGATATTTATTCTTCTTCACAAGAATTTTTTGAAAAGAATTTCGCATAGAAATTATATCCCACAAGTAATTGCGGAAGAAGTAAAATCTTTGGATCATTGAAACTAAAAATTCAAGAGTTTTTCTATTATTATGTGGGAGAAGTTCAATCAACAATCAAAAATATGTATATTGATCGCTTTAGTTATGAACAAATATACATGCATCTAATTGAATAAGCAAATAAAGCAAAAATCAGATACATTTTTTTTAAAATAAAAATCCAAAAAGAAAAAATAACACGGGCAATAATACTCATAAACTATAATAAGTCTCCCTTCTCAAACTAAAATTTCATTTGGGATAATTTTCATGCTGCTTTATGTAGCAGTTTCTTAGCACATTTTTTTTTAATTTTAAATTTTTGTATTAAAAATTTATTTCATAAAGTAATAAAAATGCTGATTTCATTCGGGACAGCTTTTCTATTGCTTTTTAAAATAATTTTTTAGTACAAAATTTTTTGTAATTAAAAGTTACTTTAGAAAACAATGAGAAAATTATCTCAAACGAAGTATAGTAGAATTTATTAGAACATTCAAACTAGAAAGCGAGGAAAAAAAGTTAGGTACGTTAAAAAGATAAGTTGGGATAACTAATGCCATCAATGTGATTGGTGGAATCTTACTTTACTAAAAAAAATTTGAGAGAAAGCCATATTTAAAGGATTTAAAGGAGAGGAAAAGAAATAAAATATTACATTGATGTTATTATATGAGGAGGTGTAGAGAGAAAATAATATAGAGAAAGTAGATAGTAATTTATAGTAGTTATGATCATATGCCTACATCCATTTAAAAGGCAAACAAAAGAAAATATTCACTATATCAAAAAAATGAAGTACAATCAAGAGATTTTATTATGTTTAAAAAGCATTCTTGAGAGCACTAAGAGGGTATGAGAGGAGAGGAAGGAAAAAAAAAATTATATACATTATTCAATATTTTATTTTATTAGAATTTTTTCTTTAAATAAACACAATGAAAATAAAACAAGTTATTTGCAAAACCAAAATATAGTTATGTGTAAAACCAAAATATTTTAATGTAAAAATAATAAAATGAAATAAAAACGACACTTAGCTATGGAATGCAAAATACAATAGAAGGTCTCCACTTGCCAAATATCAAATATTACATTAGATAGAAGCATTTGCATACCCTTCATGGTCAAGCTATTAAGCTTTAGTGGCTAAGTTGTAAATTTCAATTTCTTAAAATGAAAATTGCCTAGCTTATTTTGTAATTTATTTTCCCAACATTTAATAGTATTGATGATGACTCAACAACATCACAATATGATAGTGAAAAGTTGGTGTCCTTTTTATGTTCAAAGGAGCAAACAATTTTGGATTTATGCAAGTAGAGAAGGCAACACTCTACATTGCATTAAATGATTAGTCATTAATTCAATGTTTAGCTTGGATAATAGGGGTGTGCAATTAGTTAGTTTTGATTATTTAATTAATGAATTAGCTAAATTAGTTGATTTTAATTATAAAATTTAGAAATTGAACCGACAAAACTATTTTTCAAAACATAATTAAATCAAAAGAAACTTTTGTTTGGTTAGTTTGGTTTGATTTATGATGAACCAAAATATAATTAATTTTAATAATGAACTGAATTATATTTGACTTAAATAACATATATTAAAAAGAATACTGAGTAATTAACCATTATAAAAATTTATAATTTTATTATGCGGAATGAATAATATTCATATTTATTTTTATGTCATTTACTTATTTACATGGATTTACTAATTTAATATTTTAAAAATTAAATATTATTTAATTTCTAGTTTGATTCGTTTTACAAAAATGAAAATTGAACTAAAAACTAAAAACCAAAGAAAATTAAAATTGAAACTAATAATTGAATTGATATTTTAAAAATAGAATCATATCAATCAAATAAGATTAATTTTGTTCAATTTTTAAATTTTATGCAAAAAATACACATCCTAATGATTAATGATGCACCAAATTGAACATTCTTTATAAATGGCGAGATGATATATTTGGAATAAATGATGACCATAATTCATAGAAGAAGTGTGTTGGGAATATTTGAGATTTCTAGTGAGTATATATGGTAAAGAACATCTTCTAGCCATGAGAGTCAAAAGGGTGTTCCTGGGAGAGGTTTATAGGATCTAGAGAAATCCTTCCAAAGGGCCTATTGAGATAAAATCTTAAGAAACAAACTAGAGAGTGATCTTGAAAGGGGTCCCCATTACATGGCATTTAAGTAATATTTGTAAGAGAAGTCACTAGAACGTGTCATTTAAGTAAAATTCTTATTAATGTGACATTTTCTTGATAGTGTTTGTTCATATCCTATTATTATTACTAGAGACGCGTGTATGATGGTGAATAGATCAAATATTCAACAAAATAATTTGAATTTATATAACATGACACCCCCTTCCTCCCAATTACAAACTATGATAAGTTTGGTACATAGCATCATGAAATATATTATACTGATCTTTAAGATCCCAAACACCAAACTTCAAGAAAGAAAATTACTTCTTCTTGTAAGAAACTATGAAGCGTCTCTCCCACAATCTAAAGTTTCATAAGCTTCACGAAGGCTAATATGTTTTTACTAACTCAACCGCAAGAATAATGGATAAACCTTCCTCCAACATTGTACTAAGACCCAAAATAATATATCTAAATGTTAAGGTTCCCAAGACCAATGAAGTGGAGATAGCATAGAATCATTGGATACCAAAGGTAACAAATTTGGAATGAAGGAGAATTTATCCTTTTAATGTGTTCAAAGAAGTGGTGACTAACAATAAAAATAAGCAGCATTGGATTTCAATGAGGAAGATGCTGTGGAGTCATAATGATTTAAGGAACCCTTATTAAAATGGGTGGGAATACAAAGGGAGATGTTAAAATTGAAGCTGGAGGAAGAAAAGGCAAGAGATTCAGAAAGAAGGAAAAACATAGCCCATGAGCAAAGCAAACAAAGGTTGCATTAGACTTTTTTTTTTTTTCTCAAATGGTCACCCAAGTGAAAGGAGGAGATGAAAAGTGGAAGTATTTGGCATATTTAAAACTAATAGTGGTCTCCAAATAAGTGGAGATTAATGAGTTTCATTCGTTCAAAGCTAGGGTTGAGTGAAAGTTTGTGAAAGGCAGAAGCACCGACTACAAAAGGTCTTGCTTAATACAATGATCAGAAGTGAATAATTGAGTCTTAATAAGTAAAAGAAATGTTTCATCCAAATTATGCTTATTTTCATTAAAATGTTATTTAATTCTATATTTTTTGTAGGAAGGAAGCAAAGTACTCCATAATTGAAGAAGCATCATGACGCCACATACAGAGTGTTGAAGCACTATGTTTATCTTCAATGTTGGAGGGCTAGAAGGTAGCGTTGCAGTAGTAAAAAGCTAGAGAGAAAAAAATTGAA